CTACGAAAAAAAGGTTGAGGACAAGTGTTTTTGGGTAAATTAAGCTACTCATTAAACGTAAGATAATCTGTTTTAGTTCTCGATGTTTCATGAATTCGAAAGTCAAACATAAATCAACTATAACAACGGGTAAGTTTTAATTGAGCTATATTTAGTCGAAAACTGCTACTTTTTAAATGAAAGCATTGCGAATTCGAAAGAAGAAATCATAACTGTATAAAAAACTGAAACTAAGCAAAAATATGAACACAACAAGTTTCTCTAAACAAACTGACCGCGAAATGCGTCGTTTTCATAAAAACTGAAAACAAATTCACCACTTTCGCCACGTCCAGCAATGACAAAACACTGCAACAAGACACTCTATACTAAAAAAGTAAGGAGAGAACGATACCTGCGCACTATTTTTGCAAAAGTACCTCATTTATATTTAACTTCGTTTCTTTAAAAAGCTCGAATTATTCTCAACCAAGTTAGGTGGAAACACTCCTTCTCATGTTGATCTTTTGCCTCAAAGAAGTCAAAGACATCATATTTCCTTAACAATACTCCGCTGGAGTCGTCTCGCTCTTTATTTATGTGCAAAACACTTGATCTCGCGTTTAATCTGTTACATTAGAGTTGTTGAAACAAACACTCCACTTCGCGTCGCACTAACTTTCAGCCTTCTTTTTTCGTTCTTAATGTGACTTGTGTTTAACCCATTACATCAAAGTTTTGATACTAAAATACTCCCGTAAGCACGCGTCGTGCACTCCAGTCTCTCTGTTTGGAGTGAGAAGAAATATAACTGCTACCGTTTAATTCCGTGGGATGCCTGTGGCACTCCCACGGTAAAAGTCCAGTTCGCTTGTACCCAAAATTGCAAAGCCAGCCAATAGGATTGCGTAAAATCTTTATCGATTATTTCTTCTTCCAAGTCGACTAATGGGATTGTACCAGGAGGGATTGTACAAAACCTTTATCGATTTTTGATCGACGAACGTTTCAGAACGTTTCATTGTACGAACAAATTGCAAAGCCAGCCAATAGGATTGCCTAAAATCTTTATCGATTATCTCTTCTTCCAAGCCGACCAACCAGATTGTACAAAATCTGTATCGATTTTCAATCGATTCGCTTCTTTCGAAGGACGTTGAAATCAGAACGTTCCTTACCAAATTTGTCGCCCTTGAGTTTTCCCACTCGTGGTTTAGGATGGCTAGTTAACCAGCGAAATCCTTCGAGATACTGGCAAGTCATGAAAGGCGACCTAAGCCAAATTATTTGTTCCCTTCATGATTCTTTTTTGTTTAGGTCTAGCTTTTTATAAGGTTTTAGTAGCGTCTTGTTGCGGGCCGTGATTTCCGATAGATTTTTTCTATTCGGAGTTCGCCAGTTTTTGCCGAGCAGAGCTAGAGTTCAGTTTTTTTCTTTTCTTATCGAAAACACCTTGACGATTGGGGGTCAAATCGCGTAAATTTTAACTCGTACCCTTGACGATTGGCGGTGAAATCGCGAAAATATTGTCGACGTCGATCGACGACTCGCTTTCGGCATGGATTGGACTTCTGGATGGGACACGGATTAGGACCTTCGTAAACTTATTATACCTTGGAATCAGGGATAAAAATTGGAACTATGTTAACTTTGAGACCTTGGAAACACATTGCAATTAATTTTTAACCTTATCAAGAGCACCTTGGAATATTAAACTTTCATCTTGGATTAAAACATTGGAACTTTATCGAACTTTGTAACCCTGGGTTCGACCCTGGATAAAGCAAGCGGATGTTTTGTTTTGTTTCGTTCCATTAACCTAAAACTACAATGTTTATTTCTCTTTGAAAAAGTTACCTTTGACAACTTACTACCAAGATATGACGTATCTTTATACATATAGTTCCTGTTCAGGTTAATCAGAGAGCATTATGCGCATGTTCTTCATTACTTGTTTCCGTTAACGTTCCAATTTAAGTTACACGGATAAACCTTGTTTTGATGCAAAATAACTTCTTTTTCTTATCCAAATCGTACTACGAAAAGAACTACACATCTTTCCGGTTTCCCCAATTTTTCCAAATTCAGATAGAAGGCTATTATGCTTCCATAGACCAACGCTTCCCACGGAAACGACTTTAGGCGTCTTGTTACTTGAGAAAATAGCGTTAGACAAAACAGAAATTAATCGCCTGAGTCTATTACCTTACTCACGCTGATTAACAAAATAATAATAATAATTATACGATTCTCCTTAGCAACAGCGTTGAAAGAAAAAAAATACAAGTTAGATTCCGCTAAGTTTTGCTAACTCATGATAAAAAGAACATCATGTCTATCAACAACAAGTACAGTTATCACGAGCCTCTGTCTCAGCAGAACGAAATTTTGAATAAACCACTCCGTTAATATTTGATGCTAAATATATCATCTGAAGACTCTATCTTATTCTATCTCTGGAAGGTATTTGGGCCTTGTTTATATTAGCAATTCATAGAATACTAAAGTGATGACGTCATAAAAATGAAATTTCTGAAATTATGGGATTTGTCAGGATATTCTGAAAGAACAATTTCCAAGACCCCTACTTGCCAAAAAATGAGCATTTCGGGGCAAATTGTCTCTGAGATGTTAGCCGGTTATACTCAGAAAACGCCATACAAATCCTTCTAATTTGTTTTGGGTCGACCCAAAAAAAATTTAGAAGGGTTTGTATGGAGTTTTCTAAGCATAACTGGGCTACGATCTCAGAGACAATTTGCCCCGAAATGCTCATTTTTGGCAAGAAGGCTTCTTGGACATTGTTCTTTCAGAATATCCCGACAAATCCCATGATTTCAGAAATTTCATTTTTATGACGTCACACTTTAGTACTCTATTGATGTTTGGATTAAATCTTACGGTTTCTCAGAAAACCCCGAACTGTTCAAAACACAAACAATCCACTAATCCTAATTCATGCTCATTTTCCTAAAGAACCACACGCAGCTGTGTAGTTAATTAAAAAAAGAATTAACTAAAAAACGCACTGGACCATAACCATAGCCCCGAGTGGCTCATTTTCCAATATTTTTAATTTTCTTAAATGTGAGTCGGGAAAAAAAGTACAGAGGGAGTCGGTAATGATTATGTAGTCATTTACTTTACCTTAACTTGGAAATGCAAAAATCGCAAGAGTGACTTTGTCAAACACTTCAAAACAGAAATTTTAGTTGGGTTTCGTAGTTCGTTGCAACACTTTTATTCATTTTTATTCAGTTGTCTTTTTTTAGTACAGTCTTTACCCAAAACGCCTGGTTCCTTGAATGTTTTGGATTTAGTTTCTTGGGGTTCTATCAAAGAGAACTTTTTAAGTGACCGCAGCTGGGCTTTATTTTGCTTCTTCGATATACCGTACTTCCTCGAACAATAGCTGTCCCTCGATTAATCGCCTCCCACGAGTAATCGCACGACTTAAGGGCACGACTTCCAGTGGACAACATCTGAAATAATCGCCTCCGTCGAATAATCGCCCCCTTTTGGTGCGAAAAAAGAAATAATCGCCTCCGGCTATTAGGGACTTTAAGCAAAGAGTGCGGAAGGGTCTATCTATAGTACGTTGACAGGAAGTAATTTTTTTACCAGCCGTCAATGTCTCAGATACGTATTCGAATTCGGGACGAGTACGTAGTACGGCAAGTTACTAAAAAGTTTGATTAGCAAATCAGCAACTTTGCACGTGTATTTTATTGTTTTCTCAACATTTCTTTACCATCACTGCACGACCACAACGAAACTTCCTAATTTCACCTTTTGTTGAGGAAGTAACCAAACGAATACGAACTTTTTCCTCTATGAGTAACGTTCGCCAACATTTGACAAAGTAAGCGACCTTTAATTCAGGAAAAGTTTGAAAGTATTCAAATTCGCTTAAAAAGCGGCGTCGTGATACCTTGAGAAAAAATTACTTCCGGTCCCCGTACTAGACCCTTTTGTAGTCGTTCCTTTCCCTGTTATTCGAGGAAATAAGTAAATTACTAATATTAAAGGGAAAAAGTTCCAATGTCTAGCTTTCTTTGCTGAGACTCAATCTTAACTGTCTGCCGGGCCATTTGCACTAAGAGGTCATGTGACATCGTTTTATGAAAATGAAAGTCATATGATTTTGCCTTCGAAAAACGATTAGTGGGCCATATCTTAAACAAAATAATAGTGATTTGGTTTTTCAGACCCGCACCATTTTCTTAAGATGAGTAAGTTCGTAGCTGATCACGTGAGCAAAATGTGATTTTAAAATTATGAATTCCCTCTTTCTGAACGCAAGTTTTGCACTTAAACTTTAATGAAAATGTTGAAAAGATAATGTGGTAACGTTTACAGCACATCTGAGCGTAACTATCAAACGTTTAACAAGATATAAGCAAAAATAGTTTTGGCCGCCATGTTGGAGGGCAAGAGTATGCCCTCCAACATGGCGGCCAATACAAATCATACTACTTTGTTGAAAAATCAAAGTGCCATGAAATATCTTCCTTAAATGCGTTTCCTCTCAAATTTCGGGTGTAACATAATTTTGATGTACTCTGTCAATTTTTGGCATCAGCAAGATTCCAACTCATTGTTTAAAGGAAGCATTGGTCTCGTGACCTCTTCGTGCAAGTGGCCTGTTGTCGCCAAGTTCTGCCGCAGAGTTTTCTTACTTACCTCGAATAAACGGCGCACTCTTTTGATTGGGTTTGGCCTTTATTGGACAGGGGCGTTTAATCGAAAAAAGGGTGTTTTAACTATCCAAAAATGTGTGTATTTGTGTGTCTTTGGGTGGGGAGGGGGTTGGGAATCAAGACCCCTCTCTTCCCTATCCGCGTTCTCTGTAAATTTCACGTGCAGAACAACAAAGAATTTTCTATAGTTGATATCCATCTATATATTTGAGTTCCATAAACTTTCTTGAAGTTTTAGAGGCAACTTCCCGTGCTAAAAATCGCTACTATTTCTACTTCAGGTCTTTGGATCCAGAAAAAGAAAAGTGTGATATTTATGATATGGCTTGGCGAGCGGAGTACTTAACAGACGACACCTACAAACATCTGGTTGCTCAGGTGTGTATCGATATTACAGCAGCCCTGCCAACAATTCTCCTGAATTCGCTGGTTATTTTCGCCGTGGTAACAAGACGACGACTACGAAACAACTCTACCATACTTCTTGCTTGTCTAGCAGGGACGGATTTGTTAACTGGCCTTGTTGTTCTACCTCTTGCCTTCTCGCTAGACTTGAAGCGCCTTCTTGGTGTTGGGCCATTTTGTTCGCCAGAAAAAGCACTGAATGTGATAATAACGATATCAATTTTTGCTTCGTCGGGTCATTTGGTCGTGATCAGCATTGATCGCTTTATAGCTATCAAATACCCCCTGAGGTACTTGGATATTGTCACAGAAGAGAGAATAAAAATCAGTATTATTCTAGCCTGGGCTATTGCTTTGATAATGTCAATCAGTGAACTTGTTCTGGCTCTAATAGACAGTAAAAGCATCTACCTGATTTATTCGGTCGTGAACTCTGTGACACAAAGTGGTACTGGAATTCTTTTCATTTTTACCATTTCATTGTGTTATGGTTACATTTACTCAGAGACACGAAGACAACTTAAACGCCTCAAAACCGAACAACTTCCCCAAGAGCAAGTCCAAAGAATCAAGAAAGACAGAAGGGCAGCTATCACTCTAGCAATCGTTCTAATTACTTTAGTAATAACTTATTTACCAGCAATAATAATTTCGTTAGTGACTGCTTCTTCAGATAGCATTTTAGTAGAGGCGCGTTTTATAGCCATTACTTTTAGCTGGGGGGGAATTCCAATGATGTTAGGCTCCCTGTGTAATCCTATCATTTACTGTTGGCGTATGAAGAAACTACGACACGCATTTCTGGAGATACTACATCTAAGAAAACCTGACAACACCGTGCCAGAAGCAGAAATTACAGGAACTCAGCCCTTTCAACCTAGACCGACGTTTTGTAGAACAGACCAGGCTTTCTTGTCACGCGGAAACGGGCAACCAGTTTTGGTGTCTTTTTGCCAGCAGCCAGTCGAATGCCTCCCTCGCATCGAAGAAGCCAGAGGGGAATAGCCCTTAATTTAATGCCATCATGTTGTTCTCATCCGTCAATTAGCAGTGAGTGCGCTGAACTACTATAAAGAGCAGTGGCGGATTCAGGGGAGTGGGGCCCGCGGGCCTCCCCATTATTTTTAGACCAAACTAACGGCCGAAGGGCCCAAAAAAATTGTTTTAAGACCGCCCCCCGCCCCCTTTCTTATCGCACGACAACAACAACAATAAGCTTTATTTGCTTGACTATGACAAAGTATTATAGTTTTATCGCAAAAGCTACTTGAATTTAATATTTGTAAAGAATGCCAACTTTCGCTATAGAATTTTCATCTTTTTCTTGGAGATAGTTTAAGTAATTAAGTATCTTGTTATTTATATCAATGATCAAAGGAATCCTCCAAATTCAGATCTGTATACAACATTGGATGACTTGTTATGGACTTCTAAATATCGTTTACAAAAGTGTAAATGAGTTTTTTCGGTTCCGGAGCTATCCCATGACCAGGGATCGCGAGCACCTTTAAAGTCCTTAAATTTTAGAACGGAAATTAAAGGCCTTGAAAGTCCTTGAATGTTAATGCTGACCTTATAGTTTAAGTAGAACTACAAAGAGAAAGGAGCAAACACAGAAAGGCCTTCGGGCTAAAATTACTCATGTTGTGGAAGAACTAAAAAAGACATAGACTCAAGGCTCTTTTTGCACTGAATGGAGTCCTTGAAAAATGGAAATGTCAGTCCTTGAAGTCTTTGATTTTTTTTTTCAAAAAAGGGTACGAACCCCGCATTACTTAAAATCTGATTTCACAAAGGCACCCCAAACTTCACTATTGTAAGGTAAAATCGGTGAGATCATGCCCATTGTGTCAAAAATTTTACTTGCAAGGGAAGGTTTCAATTTACTAAAATCAATGTGGCGTCTTAGACTAAAAAGAGGATGAAAGGCTTTTTGTCGAAGATGTTCAAGTGAAATGTAAAATTTCCGGATGATAAGATGCGAATCTCTAAGTATAATCTTATATAATGTCTCTTATTTCATTGGCTATGAGAAAAACATAAAGATTCAGTGTTGTTTGTTCTAAGTTACAATAATCTATGACATTATCATGACCAAATAAGGACATGGCGCACACAACTTTAAGGGAATTATGACATCCTCGGTTTAAAAACCTGTCAGACCGTTAAACCACCTACAAATAGCACGTGACGTTATCTTCATGAGATTACCCCGCATTTCATCCATGAGATATAAAAGACAAAAGGTTTCACTTAAAAAACGACCTAACCGGCGTTTCCTGTTCTACTCAGATCTCAGGATAATTGTGAGCGTGCCTAATTTATTCCTCTCTAGCAGTTTTTCAATTCTACATTGTCATATTTCTATGACAACTTTATTGCAGTTACGAGTATTGACAACTGCTGAAGTTCAATTGCAGTTTCTTTCTAGGTCTTTATCGATAATGATCGAGGCTGCTCACGCACTAATTGGAAAACAGGGCCCGCATTAGACGCCAAACGTCACTGTTTCACCTTATTAGCATTAAATTCGGCAATACGAAGTTTGTCGTATATGAAACAGGCCTAAATATTTGTGAACATTGTAGGCCCAACATGACCTATTCCTTAGTCTCTCCAGGTAACTTTAAAAGAGTTTCTATTTTATATTCACTTCAGACGTTATGTATGTTAGTTTCAATTTAAGCGCTTTAACTTTATTGATAGTGGTACGTCGTGGATTTAGAGTCAAGCAAATGCCACTTTCGCTCTTTTTTGGCGCTGTCGTGCGAACAGTGCGAATAGCATTTTAACAGTATGTATCAAATTAGGTTTTACTGACTCGCTTTTCGATCTCTTATTCGTACTAACATTGCTTAATCGTGTCTGAGTCAGCTCATGTGGTCTTAAAAACAGTCAACGTCATCTATATTATCGCATGCATTGTGGGAAACTGCCTCGTTTGGCTGCAGTGATGAAAACAGGTGCACCCGACGACTGTTTTTCCAATTCTGTAAAATATCTGTTCGGAATAGCAAACATTGCCTGGAATTTTCTGTTACTTGAGGACGGCTACAAATTTCTAGATGACCGTTACATTCGCGTACAATTTTCAAAACGTATCTAACATATTTCCTACGATTTTCCGAAGCTTAGTTCTTCACATTTCACTCCCCAAGTAATGCTGTTTTTCCTACAAACATAGGCACGTTTAACAACACCCAGCATGGGGAATGCGAAGGTATCATTTCGTCGCGCTAACTCAGGATTAGACTCTTTACAATCAGTACTGAGCTTCGGATATGCCTTTTTTATTCTAAAATACTAGGAATTGGCCAGGAGCGAAATCATTCAATCGTTAGATCCCTAAAATTACAAAATAGACGCCGCGATCTGCATAATTCTTCACATCCTAGTCAGGCTCATTCAATAATTGCATTGATTAGGCCATTTACGGTACAGACTCAAGCTATTATCAAGTAGAGATAAGCTTTTCCTTTTTCATTAAGGGTAGGTTTTAAATTGTCAACTGTTGTTGCAATGGATATCTGACTGTCGGCAGCCAAATTGATGTCAAAGCGGTCCCATTTTAGGTTGTGACCTGTGTTGTTTTAGGTTGTGTGGGTGTATCAGCTCCTAAGTTCCTGCTGTAATCGCATATGTTCCTGTTATCTTGTCACGTTTAACCCAGGATTAAGCAACATTTTAGACAAGGTTTTCTTGTCTAACAACATGTAACTCGAGCTTACAAAATAATGTTGAGCCTTTACTCCGAGATACGGTAATGATAACACAAAATGTTACTCTAAGCACAGGAAGATTGTAAATTACAAAAACAGAACCAAATTTTAATCCTGGATTATCGCTAATCGGCCTTTCAAAACAGTGATGCCATACATGGAGCGAGAAATTTAAAATTGATTTGTTTTCATCTAGGTCACGTGAATAGCAGCCAAACCCTTAAGTCATGTCTGATACAGCTGATGTTGCCATAACAACATCAATTGTCATATTAATTATCACCTGCATCGTGGGAAACTTTTTCGTTTGTGTTGCAGTGATGAAAAATCGCGAAATGAGGTAAGGCGCTTGTTAATCTAAATACTTCTTCAAATTGATAATTTCACTGCTGGGCATGCGCATTGCTGCCCCCTTTCCTTTTATTTGATCTGTGTCGGGATACCGTACCATACGGATAAAAAACCTGAGCACTCCCCTTGATATTTAAGTAAGAGGGGGAGCGGCCTCGAAAATGTTTTTTCTTGTCCCTACGGCCTAAGTGCCTAACTTTGGTCTAAGAACAAGGGGAAGGGGGTGGGGGGCAGCCCCACCTCGTTTTTGCATGGTAGAACAACTTCTATTTCACTTTGCTCCGCAGCAGATGCGGAATAGTCTCCTACACGGCCGTTTTCACGGTCGTCACGCAATGCTGGGGAGGAGCGTTGCGTGACGACACTAAAAACTGCTGTGTAGTAGACTAATGCAAGAACAGAACAAGTAAGTTTTTATCTCTCATTTAATTTCCATTTGCAGTTTACTAATTAAAAGTGTGGGTTCCCTATGCCCCCTCACATGTTTCCTTAAGTAAAATGCAGGTTGTTTACATAAAAGTAATGCATGTTAAAGCGAACTGTGGCATAACACTCGATCAGGCACAAATTTAATGATACAGATACAAACACAGTGCAAACAAAAGCAAAAGCTCTGGGCCACTTTGGGGAACAACTGTAAGCTAGGATGCTAACTCAGGAGATCTTGTACCGTAACTAACTTGCCTTAGTACTCTATTTCTCTCAAGTTTTTACATATATTAGAAGCTACCGGTGAATCTTTGGGGTTACCGAAGCGTTGCCGTTTATTTGCCCTCTCGCCAGTGAGACTATGAGATGAACTTGTGGGCGAAATTCGTAAAGTTCCTGAATTTTCGTTAAACGAGTGTTCTTTATAATTCTAATCTGAAATTTAGACCTCCAAAGAGGTCTTTCAATGGAAGAAATCTATCTTTAAACAGACTCTGCGAAGATGGACAAACATGCTTTATGGATCACGTAACAACTTCAATTCTTGGTTACTGGGTTAATCATTGACAGCTTTCATTTTTTCACGGAGAAATCGACCGATTTTGTAAACTGGACACAGGCAACTCAGTTAATAATATATAAAGCTATGGGTTGAACTTCAAGCCTTTTTTGCGAATCTTCTGCCATTTAGAAAATATAGGGTCAACTTTTGAGTGATGTAGAATTAGGCCGATCTCCAGAAACTATGGTCACACGCCTTTTCTTCCCGTAGTAGTCAGCCGTATGTAATTTGAGAACGGTTATCTACGAGTTAGCTCAAGGATCCCTTTGAGGATATCACTAACTGACTGGACATGTTATCCCACAGGATTCCCATCAACTATCTACTGGTGAACCTGGCAGCAGCAGACATCTGCTACGTCACATTCACAATCCCGACGATTATCTTGAGCCACAACGTCGGCCATCCAAACGGGATTTTTGGAACATTTCTGTGTGCAGTTATAACCGGGAGAAGTTTCGCTTGGATTGGAGGACTTGCGTCAATGCTTGTCATTGCGTTTGAACGATACTTTGCCGTAGTACATCCCTATGGAAACAGAGGAAAGCTAACTTTACAGGGATTGAAGGTTTGATGCTTTGAAATACTATGTGGCATTATCCGCAAATTATATTCCTGTACGAGCTTAGATCAGCTTCCACGACTACAGCTCTCTCTCCCGAAGAGGCTCCCGTTAAGTATTCCAGTAAAAATAGCAATAATCGAAAAGTAGAAAGCGCGCTGGGGACGATGGGAAGAGAGAAGACGCGGAAGGCCTTGCTTCTACTTCCTTTCGTCCTTTCATTATCCCCAACCCCAGCCTCCCCTCCCCACGACACAAAGAGGCCTCTACGGGGGAGAGAGCGACGACAGAGTCAGCTTCTTGGTCTGTGATTCACCTTTCTCAATTCTTTTATGTCTCCTTAGGTGATTATTCCTGGAATCTGGATTCTTGCACTAATGGATAAAATTCCATTATTTATGAAGCGGAGCCGCTTTGTTGAAGAGGATAGTTCCATCCCTTTCATTTTTTTGTTGTCCAAAGAAAGCCTAAGAAAATACCGCACGGTTTATCTCTCAATCGATTGCCTTGTCATGATCCTGCTGGTCTTGATCTACTCCAGAATTGTGTACACATTGTGGTTCAAGCAAAGTGATAATGCCGTACTCACAAATCAGGTAGGACCCTTCTCTTTATACAAGGGAATCTTAGATTCTGGATTCTAGATTCTCGGTACTGAATTCCGGGTTCCAATCGGTAGTGGGATTCCGGATTTCTTGAGCTGGATTCGGACTCCTAAGCCCAAGTAAAAAAATTCCTCAAGCAAAAAATTTCCTGGATTTCAGAATCTGTATTCCCTTACATGGGGCCAAAACTTTTATCAAGACAAATTATTCGTTTGAGGGCTACTCATAATAGTTTTATATGGGGAGAGTTCCGCTCCGCGGTCCAACCCTTTACCCTTTGAAAGAAAAGGTACCCCTTTCGTATACCCTCCATTGAAAAATATAACCCCTCTAAAATACCTAATAAGAATAAATTACTAAAACTGACCTATTTTACTCAATGGCGAGCTTGACTGGATAGTTCTGGGACCAGCGAATAAGATCTAAAGTGAGGCGCGCCTGTAACCCTCTGGTGTTAAAATACAGAGTTTAAGTTGGCTGAGGGTCGGACGTCAAGCCGTTACGTCCTAGACGTACTCAGTTATCAGCTCGAGTTTTGGAAAATTGACGGGTACCACCCTAAGTTATCAATGAATTCTTTGGATCTCGGATACAGTTTTTTCTTAACTAAAGCGTGAGTTGAAAATGGTTTGTTCGTATGTTGGTGTATGGGTTGGCCAAATTGGCCTAGTAAGGGACGTTAGGTTCTGTCTGTTTATCTACTTTTGGTGAATTCGCCAAAAAAATATGTAAACAAATAAATATCAGCTGTGTGAAGTTATCCTCGGATACCTACAGGCAGTCAGTCGGGTCGCAAGAAAGGCACAGCGAAAGTTTTCAAGAGTTAGAAGTTCAGATCTCTCAGTCATAACACATACGTTAACAAGACCAAAAAGGTCATTCATCCTTTTGTGTTCTAAACGACACTGTTCATATCAAAGATCAGCTATGTAAGTAGCCTTAAGTCTCCAGTCTTCAGATTACTTCTTATTTAACCCTTTTGGGTCGCAAATCTTTTTTTTTTTTGGCAACTTTGTTTATTCACTGTTTTCCCAACCAATCGCGTGAGATCTTCCGAGAGCAGCAAGGTCGCAGAGCTATATTGTAAGCTTGGGTGACCTATGGCTTATCAATCGTTTTGTACACAGGGTGTATTTAGGTTGAGGATGCGAGTGACCTTGATCGTTGTAACCGTGAGCGCCATTCTTGTAATATCTTGGGGAGCAGATGTGATACTTCATCTGTTAGAAGAACATGCTACTGACTCCGTGAAACTGAGTCCTTTAGCTATTCCGATCGCGCACACGATGCTGATGTTCAACTCCGCTATCAATCCATTTGCGTACGCTCTGCTGAACCAAAGGTTCAGGAAAAAGATGAGGCAGATGATACGTTCACGTTCCTTTGCAACAAGGGTTGGTGCTATGTCCGTGCGACAGGGTGAACCACAGGACAACTGGAAGCATTCCAATGACACAGCAAGCCAACTGAGTGAAAGGGCGGCGACAATTTCCCGGGAAAATGTATTATGACAGTATCAGGCGAGTCCTGGTGCTTATCATTATTTTCATTAGAAAATAAGTTTTATTCAGTCACAAATTTTAAAAACTTTTGTGCAACAGTCCTTGCTTTGATAAAGAGGCTTGGCAATTCGAAAATGGGTTATTGACACCGCTGTTGTGGTCACCCTGCCTTATTAATGTAAAAAGAAAATGTTTTCTTACGAAAAAATCAACTCTCATAGGATTGCCTTGGAACACCAACATAATAGGTAGCTTATAGCAACGAAGACAGCGATGGCATTGGAGCGTCAAAGAAGCAATAGATTTTGTAAGCAAAACGGTACATATCTTGGCCGTCAATGCACAACTACGACGTGAAATACCCGTATACGACCATTTATGGAGGACGTAAACAAGTGACAACGAATGTTCTTTTTCTCCTGATTTTAAACTTGGTTGCCACCCCACATAATTCACCTAAATTTGAGATTTGATTTCCAGTCTAAATACCAAAAAGTTGATAAAACTCTGCCGTCTTTTTCTATCGTCGATGCAAAAGCTTCCTATTGATATCGCCGACGTGACGTCACGATGACGTCACGCCGGTAAGCGCTTTGTATGAAAACCATACAAGCTTTATAAGAAACTGTGATGCTATATAGGTAAGGAGGAAAGAGGGGTGGGAAAGGAAAAATTAAAAATAACTGTTTTATCAATTGCTTTACGACCTTAATAAGATTAGAGCGTCAGCCTTTGTTTGTAAGTAGCCCTATCTAAGGACAATGGAGTCAAACAAGCTTTTAGAAACTGTCACTAACAAGATGGGATTGCATCATACTGTAAATTCGTTTTCTCCTTTGTATACTCTCTCATATAATTTAATACTATAATAATATAACATAACACTCTCATATACAATTGTCTAATCGTACCACACCTGAAAATTAACTTTTGAAGTACATCAAGTGACAACACGACACCAAAAGAACCCAAAACAGGCTAGAGCAGGTTTGTAGCTGTGAGCTAGACAGCTATTTTTTTTTGCTGATCAGGTCTCTTTAGATCCTACGTTCTTCCTACGTTCTGCGTTCTTCTATGTAGACCTATGTATTTGTACATAACGGAATTCTCTACATGTGTCCAGCCAAGATAAGACCAAGCTACCTGCGGGCCCGTGCGCTTCAGTGAAAAAGAAGAATCAAGAAAAATGAAGATTTGTGTTGTTGTTCCTTCTATTGTACCGTTGTCGTCTCGAGCCAAAATTGCCCTCAAATTACTGCGCTTTTCACAAACATGTGATTTCTGAAGTTCAAAAGCCAACTGACGATTGCGTTTTTCGCTGCCGTCAATCATCTTAACGGACCTCTTAGAGAACAAAACTTTACTTTAACTTGTTCAAAACGTCATGGTTTGTGATTTGTGATTGGTGGATTTCGATCCGTTTTGTGTGTTTCTGTGTTTCAAGGTTCGTTGCTTGTGATCGTAATTATGATTGACGGCAGCGAAAAACGCAATTGTGAAGGCGGCTTTTGAACTTTAAAGTTCGCATGTTTGTGAAAAGCGCAGTAAAAAAAATACCGTCTTCGTCTGCTAATTTGCATTAAGAAGTATAAATTTTGCCGTCTATGCCATAAGCAAAGAAAGCGAGCTCACAGGACTGGATCGTCTTGTTAAGGTAATTTAAAAAAAACAATATTTCACAATTTCTTCGTAGGTTTTTGGTTTTATCCTTGTGTTTCGTACGAGATTAAGTTTAGGTTATTACGGCACCCACTTTTTTTCCACTACAAGAGTCTTTTTCAACTTGGAAAACATGTTATGATTAGAAATTGTTTTGTGCAAGATGCTAATTACAAAACTGCTCGTTTAACTTAATAAGTTGCTTACTTGAAGCCAATTAAAACAACGAACGCTTCATTCTAAGAGAATTCCACCATCTGTGTTTCCTCCACAAAAGTTTAAACAGCGTGAAATTTGCGAACGATCAGTTCATCGCGAGACGTTCTTACATTCCCTGGATCGTATTGCGCATGCACCCTTGATTATGAAAATTGCCTACAATGAAGAAATACCCCCGCTGTCTTGTTATCAATATGAAGTCATTTCGCCCTTGTATTTTGTTCTCGAAGGTTTGTGTATGTGCCGGTGAAAAAATGAACTCAAAATCTACTCCCGTGTCTCTGAGATAATTTTGAAAATAAAAAAGTATATCTCGTAAGATCCTCCTTTGTCTTTCATTCTTACCTTGTCGATTGCGTCGTAGATTTAGATGCAAGCAAGTAAACGTTAGGTCTTATTATCGTTAATTCACGACCGTGGAATATCACCTGCTTCAAAGCCTTTAACTTCTTATTTTTGACGACCCATTGTCGCTAATATATTTTTCCATTATCACTATTTACAGCTATTTCAAATAACTTTGACGGAAAGCTTCCGCGGTAAGATCGTACCGCCGGGTAACTCCATAAAAATTTCCCAAACTCAACCATGAAGAAATACTCTGTTGTAAAATCACAAAGGCAAAGGTTTGTGAGGGTTTAGACAATTCTGAGGGACTGACAACGTAATCTTGAACGGTTAAACTAAATAACAAAAGATTTACAGCTACCCCAGCTATATGACCCTCGCTATCTGCTCTTGCCTTATATGTCTACACTATAGATGGTTTTCACTGTGACGTCATTAAATTGCAAAGTCAAAATAGCGAGGTTTTACGAATTCTTATTTGCACTAGGCTGGAGATAAACAAAAAGTAAATCTTTGTACAAGTTTCCATTTCCGTAGCTTGTTTCATTTCGAAAATACAGGAATTTGAACTTCCGAGTTTTCACAGTGTGCGCCAAAATAGGAATGCTGTCTCGTTGAAAAAAAAGGCCAACTGACGATTGCGTTTTTCGCTGCTGTCAATCATGTTAACGGACCTCTTAGGAAACAAAACTTTGCTTTAACGGGTTCAAAAGGTCAAGGTTTGTGATTTGTGATTGATGGATTTCGATCCGTTTTGTGTGTTTTTGTGTTTCAAGGTTCGTTGCTTGTGATCTTAATGATGATTGACGGCAGTGAAAAACGCAATTGTGAAGGCGGCTTTTGAACTTTAGAGTTCGCATGTTTGTGAAAAGCGCAGTAATTTTCAGCAGTATAACCACTTCAAGTATTAGAAGATATGTTTATGCGTACGTATGTTAGATATCGAGTGAAAAGAAAGAGCTTTTATAGAAAAGTGAACTCCAGATGTTTTTGTTGTATTCCGGCGGCCATATTGGTGCACCAAAACGGTGCACCAATATAGCGTCTCCATACAAAGCTCTGCAAAGGAGCGTGAAACGTTTTCGGCAAATAACTCAGAAACTGTGACCCACAAAGACCTGACACTTAGACAATTTGTCTTTTATGACATTTCATTTTCTTGGCCTCTTCCACTGGACAGTTTCCAATTTATTTTTTTGTTGCGTGACAGTGAAAACGATCTATAGCGGGTAGCTCTTAAATACGCCGGCACGAAATCATTTCGAATCGGGCTTTTGCTTACACATAAGAGCGACGATTTTGGTACAACGCGACGTCTGTAACAAATTAAAGCGAAGCTTCACCGCGTCGATCTTGAAGTGGATCGTCACACTTTGGATAGATCTCGGTGCCACTTCAAGTTTGCGCAGTACAAACAGGTGTTTATGCTGCACCGGTAGCCTTTCCATGTCGACATGAAAGACTATCCGGTATATGTGGTGTACACACCGCCTTAAAATCCGACAACATTAATTAATTGAAGTAGCTGTTTATCGCTGCTATTAATCAATGAAAAGGGGAACTTCCTTGAAAAGCCGTAGGCCCAATTAAGAAAACGTGTGGGAAGTAAAAACGAAGCACGCACAAGACCAGGCCAAGAGAACAATGAATGGGCCAAGAGCCAGCATGCAACTCTGCTGGAAGCGGAAGAGTGAGGAAAAATGGAACATGGCCATGTTTGTAATCAAATAATTTATGGGTTTCCTCAAAGTTGGCATTTTGTAAACAGTTTATGTAAACCGGAGCTGTGGATGAATGATCTACTATGGAGGACAAAAGAACTTGGGACTGTGTGAAAAAGCCCTTCCAAGCAATTGTTACGTAGAACCCTGCTCCTAAGGTCAATTTTTCTGTTCGGCTTTGGGTTCATCCCGTCGTTCCCCCACCCCCCCCTAGCAATGTTGTGGCCAAAAAAGCACTCATTCTCACCCATTTTGCTCCAAATTCAACTTTGTTTGGGGGTGGGAGGGGAGGGGTCGCTAGTTTTAGTAATATCACTGGAAAGGTCCCAACGCTTTTGACCTCCATTGTAGTCGCTGTCACGTTCATGTTTAATCAGCTTCTGATCTTCTCTACGCGACTGCCACTCTTCTCTTAAGGTTTAGTTCCTTTCCAGAACAACTTTTCAGTACCCCGGCACGGTGCATAAATAAAGTTTATATTTTTTCCTTGGTAAGATATTCCTGGCGTAAGATATAGTCACAAACTGCGAACAACTGGCCTCTTTATACTGTTTTTGTCTTTATACTCTTTTAACTGTTTTGACTGTGTTTAAAAACACACAAACAAAAAAACAGAAAAATTATTTAATATGATTCATAAAAAAATGAAAAATAATAATGAAACGGATAAAAAAAAGTTCGTATTCTAATAACAAGTCAGATAAAGTTCCCCTCGTTTATCTACATAATTATGAAAATGTTATCGGCCAAAGCGTGAGGTAAAAATTAGCAGACCGCTTCTTAGTGGTACTTATGGTGTTTGATCTCACGAGCAAACTTTCTAACCAGATAGTATCATAATTAAATTCAATGTTATTTGTCAGTCTCGCATAAAACATCGCCTCGTCTTAAGAGATCATTAGTTGTTAATTATTTGTTTTATTTAAGACATTCAGTTTAATATTATTGGTGTTAGTGGTGCATTCGTGCCCTTAATGAGTTCGTTTAACGCCTCCAAGTACAAAGTATTCCTGAGTAATAGCGAAAACAGGAAGATCTAACTACTGCATGACAGTCTTCGAAAGGCAGCGCCTTTTTTTCTCAGACACTTATTACAGTAAGTTATCGAAGTCACCTTTCTCGGTAGATGGGATTTCGTCTGGTTTGCTTCCATTCATCTCTGGACAGACTAATATAAAAAACAACAGTCAGTAGATCCTTAAAAAATCAGCCTTTTTTTTTTTCAACAATTGCCTTAACATGTTTAAATTTAGCAAATGAATATGTGTGCTGTGTAAATCGCTAAGATAGTGCCTTCAAATAACCTTTTTACCCCAGTTGGTATTAGTTTGTATGTTGTTATATGCCGTGTAGAGCATCTTAGTTTGGGCACTAAAAAAAGATACGGTCAGTTTCCATGGCCATCTTGAATTTTGCATAGGAAATAGAAATAGACACCTCAACCTTTTTTACGAATATACAATATCCACTTTTTGGGGCAGAGCGTGGTTGCTGAAGAGGTGCTGAAATTAACTGTCCGCTGTTGTGTTAATAGAAAAGATAAGGGCACTCCATTTGGTCTCCTATGCTTTTGAAATAGATTTTTAAAAGTAGTCGGTAAGTTATAAATGGCAAAGAAAGTCATCTACACACTGAAACGTTTTTCAGTAGATGAAAGTTATTTCATTTAGCTTTGATCCGGCCATTCTCTTGGGGTAACAAAGAAAAAGGTTTTTCTTAGGTTCAACCCGGCTTCACCAATCTTTCTAGTTGCAACAGCTGCTAACATCCGCCTTTATACGTAATTATACACTTAGCTACACTTTGTACGTGCCGTAGAAGTCGTTAAGATATTAGCCGAGGAGAAAATAATTTAAGAGAGCGAATCCCCCATACATGACCCTCTTCTTAAGGACGACACCTCATTGGTCGGTAAGAATGGCGTCAAGTAATATTTATAACTTGGCGGGTAATTCATTTCACTGCCGATCACGCACAGCAAGCAACACGACGGGTGAACTTGAATTATATTACCTTCGTCAAGGAGTCAGAAGATTTCTAGGTGGAAAAATCTGTCCAGAGTAGCCCCTGATGATCAAAATGATCCTGGCTTTTAGGAATCGCCGAGGAAAGCGGTTCCGACTCGACGGAAATTGCTAATTGTGGCTTCGCTGCATCAGTGTACAAACAAATTACTCGGCTTGTAAACGACAACTGTCTCTTCGAAATTTCGCCGACGTCCACGCCAGTTTTAAATAGCCTTTGGCAATAATAATAATAACAACTTCCTCTTTAATAACATATGGGTTCCCATCAAATATTGCCCCTAGGATAAGTACATTTGCTTGAGTAAATAGCATTAATAATGTCAACTGCTAAAAGTTTACCGGCACAATAAGGGAAAATACTGGTTAGAACATCTAAAAGGAGACTGAAAAAAACTATTATGTTTCACAATGTTTTCTGTTTAGAATTCTTATTTTGTTGCTCCTCGCTTATATAAAAAAATTTCTTCCAAACACTAGTTTATTTCTCTGCTGAGTTTTATTATTAATATCAACATTCAGTTGATGACAGCTAAACGCAAAGTTAAGCAAACACGTCCAAACGAGTACATTACATGTCTACTATGGTAATGGTTAAGACTAAGTTCTAAATGTTATAGTTGTCTATTACGAAGGCTTTTAGATCCATCAAGAAAAAATTATATTTATTATGTTGCCTTTGAACTATTGTTGTCTTAGCATTTTAGAAGCCTCTTGAGGCCTTGACGATAATTATTGCTAAAAATGAGGCAAATCAGAGGGTTTATAGCACAGTTTGCGTCGAAAATGAGGTGTGCGAGGAGAGTAAATAACCGGAAACCGCAGCTGGACCAAATGGAACTATCCTCCGGTTGATGTACCGTGATTAAACGTGTAGTGGTGATGGGTACAGAGCAGAAGAAAAATGCTAGCATGATAGCAATGGCCATCCTTAACACATTTCTATTTTTCCTTTCGCGCTGTTTTGTGGCGTTGGTCAACTGCTCACCCGGAGGCGCGTGTAGTTTGAGCTTGATGAGGATGATGGAGTACACAATGACCAACAGGACTGCAGGGATAAAACAAAACGCTGTGAACACTACTATGTAGTGATTCTCAATGGGCCAGGATCCTTCGAAGGTTCCATACCAATCAAAGTAACAAAAAGTCCCCTGCGTGCCATCATCAAATTTTGCGACGATCATATATGGCGCAAAAAAAGCCAAGGCAACAACCCAAGTAGCAAGAATGAAGAAGGGAAACAATTTGTGACTAATGAATGGAGAACGAAGTGGGAACACCACGGCGACATAGCGATCAAGTGCTATCAGAACTAGGCTTTGACTCGACACACCGAAGGAGACGTGGGTTAAGTAGACAGCAAGTTTGCACAGGGCTTGGCCAAGAAGACCACCAGTAGGCCAAGAGCCGCCAGAATGGATCTCTGCAAGACGCAGAGGAATCGTGAAAAATGGAAACAGCATGTCTGATATGGCCATGTTTGCGATCAAATAATTTATGGGTTTTCTCAAGGTTGGCGTTTTATAAACAGTTAATCCGATGATCGAATTTCCGAAAAGGGAAAAGCCAAGGATCAGACCAGAACCAATGATTCGCCCAATTTTCGACGCCGATGCGTCTATCAGACTGCTACATACCCAAAGGTTCGATCCATTCGCTGTTGTGTTCATCTTTACTAGTCTCAACTCGCTTGCTTCTTCTGGTAAGGTTTGGCTTCTTTGCAGAACAGCTGCTCAATATTGCGGCCTATATTCAAATAGGAAGGTTTGTAATTATATAACTTAACGCAGGTAATTTTAACACTCCACAAATACACTGATGTTGTAAAGTGACAAACTCAAACGTGCGCGCCCTGTATATCAAATAATAAAATAACGAAAAACAATTAACTAATTGTGGAAAATATAATCCATCTATGATAATAATAATAGTAATAATAAAAATAATAATTAATAATAATAATAGATAATGGATAAAGGTTGAGTGTCTTAAGGTAGCTCGACCCAGTATTTTTGTAGGCACACCTTCCATCATTATAACACATGTGTTACACATAGACTAAATTTTATCATCATATTATTTTTTGGGCGATCGCAATGAATGTCACGTGACAATGACGTCACAACAGCTTTTGAAGGCTGTCATCAAACCTGCATCGGGAAGTTACTAAGTTGAAAAAGACCCCGCTTGTGTATTTAAATAATTATATCTAATTGACCAAAGACGGAAGTCGAGATAGCTGGTTTCAAATATCTATTACATCTACACACTGAACTGTTTTGCAGTAGATAAAAAAGATTTCATTTCAATAGCTTTGTTCCATTCACTTGGGCAACAAAGAAAACGGTTTTTCTTTGGCTCAACCTTTATAATTTACCAATCTTCCCAGTTGCAACAGCTGCTAACATCCGCCTTTATAAGTAATTATACACTTCGCTAAACTTTGTAAGTGCCGTGGAAGTTGTTAAGATGGAGCCATTAAATATACAAGTTTTCTATGATATCAGCCGAAGAGAGATTAATTTAAGAGAGCGAATCCCTTATACATGACCCTCTTCCTAACGAAAATTACCTGAAATCTATGCCAAGTTTTTGTGTCATACTGCTGGGTAACTTAAACGACGACACCTCATTGGTCGGTGAGAATGGCGTCATGTTAATTTTAAACTTAGCGGGTAATTCATTTCACGTCTTTCAATGCCGATCACGCACAGCAAGCAACATGACGTGTGAACTTGAAATTACTTTCGTCAGAGTCAGAAGATTTCTAGGTGGAAAAATCTGGCCAGAGTAAGCTTTCAAGAATCGCAGAGGCAGCGGTTCCGACGCTACGGAAATTGCTAGTTGTGGTCTTCGCTGCATCAGTATAGTATAAGCAACTAAAACATCTTGTAAACGACAACTGTCTCTACCGGCGACGTCCACGCCAGTTTTAAATGGGAAAGATTAAATAGCCTTTGGCAATAATTTTAACTTCCACTTTAAGGACGGTGCCCATTATTGTTACTGCGCACATTTTCTGCAAATGCCGAGGTAGTAGCGCGCGACGCGAAAGAAATGCGCAACACGCAGGACACGCGGACTGGCTTTGTGTCCTGTTAGTCTGGGAGGTTCTAGCTATTTCTTGTGAAAAAGATGTGTCGTTTTTCAACAGATTAAAAAATAATTTCTATTTACCTTGTCAGTTCTTTGAAAACCGAAGAAGTATGCGCATGTTGCTATTTCTGCCGTATGATCGATCTGACCAAACATTTTATAGTCAAACAAAAGGCAATTCTAAAACATCAAAAGTTATTGCTTCGAGATGTTACGCTTGGAGCTTGGGTATTAAAAAATCCCTTAATAGGAAAGGATCAGTAAATCAAAAGGAAAATAGCTCTAAGTCCTCCTCTTAATCGAGAAACTGCAAGCTTACCTTTCACTCGCGCCCTTCGCGTTTTATCGGCTAATCGGCTCTAAACACTTTCCCGAATATTTCTTTAATTTTCTAAGATTTTATGTAATTATTCACCAGAAGATAGATTTAAAGCGTTCGAGTACATACAGATGTCCCTTTTGTTAAGAGTCCGAGGCTTTTATTTGTTGAATAAACAAGAAAAAAAACTATCACAAGATTGCTTGGATTGCTGAGATCGCAGCTTCACAATTAGTTGCTGACCGTAAAGGAAACGCTTTCATCGTGGAAAAAAATCGTAAAGAATTGTTATGCTTTTTACTATAATCATTGTTATTTAAGCATTTTGCCATCATTTACTAAGCATTGAAATTATTGACTCATTGGGCAGCTTGTCGTGTAGATAGTATTTCTCAAGGTTCAATTTCTCGCCACACATAATCTGGACATTTAGACATAGCTGCCATTCAGGCTGTTTACAAACTAAACAGATGGAAGGTAAAATAAAGTATTTCCAGTATTTATTTTTAACATTTAGGAACGAAAAATAGTGAATGATCATGACACAGAATGCTACAGTAAAAAAAAAAAAACAAACAAAACGAAATATATAAAATGATTATTATAGCCCAGTTTATTAATGAGGTATATATTCAGCTTTTTTAAGGTGGCTCGACTGGATTTTTTGGGGGGAATACCTCCCACGTTTGAGCTTTAACTACGTTGGCATGAGTAAAGATATGCGAAAAAGGTTACCACAACTGTATTATATAACGATGAAAATTTTTTATGATCTGGGTTTTATTGCAATCGGAGTCGCCATGGCAACGTAATGACGCCATTACGCTTTTTATTTATCTTTGTGTTTCTCTGTACCACGAGTTTTTTGAAGAAATCGCTTAAGGGAGTATGTACCTGCCATAATTGCCTCCATTATGGAAAAGCTTCAAAAAATTCTATGAGCGTTTTCGAAATATTTTGACACGCAGTTTTAACAATCATAAAAACAGTGAAATAGCATGCTATCCATACAATTCGCTAATATTTTAAGAAACTGATAAGCTTTGGAAACGCGGCTTTATTCCACAGTGGTTTGATTCCATTGAAAACTGCATACAAAAAAAGAGGGGAATTACTCTGAGCGATCGCGAGTAAGACTTGCATTCAGCTGCTTTTGTTACAGTTTTTGGACGTAATTTGGTCCATGTCTACAAATTTTGCATTTTTCAAAAAACCGCTCGATAAATTTTTTTATAAATTCGACAATCTGGAGACCAGTTGTCAATAAATATTCCCTGCAAGTTTCAAGAACATTGAAAACAGGAAAGGCTTTTAAATAGGGCCTCAAATATAACCAATTTTTTTTCCCCGATTTTGTGTTTACAAGTGAGTGTCCTCATTATTCACTGGCATTGCTTTCAAGTTTTATATGCACGTGCACAACTAGCAAAAGATATAAATTTGTATCAAAAAGAACTCTCGATTACTTTCCGAAGAAATACCCGGAATATGCTAATAATTGGCTTGTGTCACCGACAGCAGTGAGAGCCGAAACGGTGAACGTCTCCGCTCATCGTGTAGGATGCAATACTTAATTATCTTACTCGGGTTATAACATCACAGGAACTCTTACAAAGAATTTATCTGATGTTATAATGTATCACTAATCTCTTTACCCGGTAATTAGCATATTCGGGAGATATAACCGAGGGTCCTTTTGATGCAAATTCTATCTTTTTGCTAAATGTGCACGTGTATATGAAACTTGAAAACAATGCCAGTGAATAATGAAAAAACTGCGTGTCAAAATAAAATAAAAAACTGCGTGTCAAAATATTTCGAAAACGCTCTCAAAGAATTTGTTGAAACTTAGCCATAATGGAGGCAATTATGGCAGGTACATACTCCCTTAAGCGATTTCTTCAAAAAACTCGTGGTACAGAGAAACACAAATTTACCTCGAACCCATACTAGTTAAGCGGTTTTTAAAAATATCTACAGTCACAGAAGGATCACTTTGAAACTACATTTTGGAGAACATTGACTGCGCAGAGATTATTTTACTTTCACGCAATACCATTAGGAATCAATTAAACGAGGACACCAGGAACGGTATGAACACTGATCTTCTTCTTACTTTGAATTATGTCATATTTTTAGGATTACATTTATTTTAATTCATCTTAAAAAAAATTTTGTAAGTTTTAGCCCGTACTGACATTACGTTATTTCTACTTTCTGCAAATGATCGTTTGTTAACATTGGAAATTAAAAGCCCCAATTGGGACATGGGACCAGAAATTTGTTTCATATTTTCTTCATAACTCTACAGGAACATTATTTATGGGAAACAGCATGTAAGTGGTGAATGTAGCACACAATTGACTTAAAACAGCAATTTCCTCTAACATAGTACTTTGTTATTTTAGTTACATTATGCATAATCCGAGATATTAATAAATAATACTTTATTTATAATATATCAATACTTTTACATAAATAAGGACAAATACAAACTTAAAATGGAAGTTTACCAAGTTCGCGAAATACAAATCCTTGTATCTGGGGCTTTCGGATGTATGGTTTTGATGTTCACAGATAATGAAGTATTCTTAGTCATTTGGGATGTAACTTTTTATTTCTTTTTGCAAAAAGTTCTCAAAGAGACGCTACAAAGTTCGCTCTTTGTTTTACTGCGATCACGGAATCGATCGGACAAACGCAAATTTTTGTGTGATCATAGATGAGGTTAAGAAGAACATTCAAAAATAGTAACGGAACAAGAAAATTTAGGAAGACAAATGCCATCACATGGTTTTTAGAGCGCAAATGAGTGATAGAATTTGCGAATGCAAGCAATGGCGGTCTCATTTTGCGAGAATAAAGGCAAACTCGACCGCGATTACGCGTATTAGTAATGTAACAGGAATGAGTGGATTGCAGTTCGGTCTGCAATCATACGAGTATAGGACGACCGCTTAGCGGGAGTCCGATTTGTTTAATCACGAGTATGATTACAGACCCAATTGGACGACACGAAGTTCTGTTACCAGTTAATCATAACTTGAACAAAATTTGTGATTTATAAGGCTCTTTTTAAAAGCAAACCTTTGTACATTTCTTAGCCGTCCCTGCATAACTTCGACGTGAAATGACCAAATTTTAAGTTTACTTGAGAACGGGAACGGCAAGGCGATAAATTCTACCATCTCTGTCAGAACTCGGGCGCGATTCCTTCTCTTTAGCTCTAACCCAAATTCCCTTCTTTTAGTAACTGGGCCCCTTGAAATAATCGCGAAAAAAAGCAAAAGAATGCGAAGTCTATTTTTCAGCGACGTTTTCATGGAGGTCACCGTTGTCGGATCGTAAGGTCCCTAATTATAACTTAGGCATGACGCGTACTGTCCTATTAAACTGTCCTATTAAGGCTGAAATCATGGCAGTTGATAGCCAATCAGATTTGAGAATTTTGTTATAGTTATGATTTATGGCAAATTTTGCCACTTGTTTGCTCCTTGAAATACCACGTGACATCACTTTTATCCCATCAACCGTAATGAGCGTGAAAGGGTAGTGGGTATCATGAATAAGGTTTCAATTTAAGACAATTATGGATCTTAAATCATTCTTGCATACCTGCTGCACAGACACATTTTATGTTAATTTAACAACTAAACAGATTCCTTGCCAGACGGTTCACCAATGTAACAATTTCACACAGACTGGACAAATTTAATAGCATTTGCCGATTTGATAGAGGTAAATATGTTGTGCCCTAGCCAAAAGACAAGCGAGGTGACTTGTGCCTCGCTGTTCTTTTCATATCTTCTTTCACTTTCCATCTCATCAGTTCTAAACAGGCTCTGGCATCTTCATGGCTGTCGTGTCCCTCGACTAAAATACAAGAGTACATGGTCTCCAGTTAGTACACGCCTAAAAGAACAGAGCAAATAGGAAAGAAAGGCACAGGCGATTCCAATCATCGGAGTTTTGGAACGTGCCTTTTTCGTAGCTATAAACTTTGCAAGGTTCATCGCTATTGTTAGCAACTTCAAATAGATTTCACAAGGATTTAAGTAGCACTGCTTAAGCTAGCATATGGCTGAATAACTAAGCTATACTCCCACAAAAGTAACTTTCACAAAGGCTATAATCACATGCACCATGTCAAAGCTTGAGTTCAAGAATGGTCCAACCTGCTTAATTGTGATTTGGCTAAAATCCATGTGAGAACTCGAGAATTTTGAGAGATTCAAAGCCAGTGATCTACGTAATTGATATCAAGAAGGAGCATACTTCTGATCTAAATTTTCAGCTACTAAAAATGTACTAACACGTCTCAAGCTTTATCTAGACCTTGGTCCATGAGGAAGTCATTTGCAAGCAAACAAAGAGGATCATGAGCACACTGAAATCTGTGATATAAAAAAAATATTTTATTCATGTATAAACAGAGCTAAGCCAAAACTGATGGATCAAGTTTCCCCTCCTCCCCTTCCCTTGATGGGTCCCAACCTTTTATCCACTCCTGGTCAAATTAACGGAGCTACATAATAGGGTGAAAATATTTGTTGGTATAATTGGAAGGCCTTATTTAGAGTACGCAAGCCGTGAATGGGATCCTTAGTCACAATAAAACAACTACAAAATCAAACGGATGCAACACAGTGCAGCAAGGTTCGTACTATACCACAAGCGTACACCTGGGACAATCATGCGACTAACCTATAGGCTGCCAGCAAGCCAAAGAAGGATGGAAGCAAGACCGTCAATGATAAATCACCATTTTATATTTGCTCTTAAATAATTATTTCGAAAGTCTCTTCGAGTAGGGTAAATACAACAAAAACACTGGACATACTTATTCTGAATGGCAATATGTGATCCCTGAACTGAGTGAGAGTTTGGGATTTTTTCAATTCCTATTAACACACAAAAGTTATAACAAAACGTATTTTATTGGACAAAAAGTCTCAGGTGAAAGGGGTCTACTTTGCTAAAATAACAAAAAAAAAATCTTAGATACAATGTAAAAGGCAAGGCATGCATACGAAATATTAGGGCCATTTATACGAGGAAAAATAAGACGCGTCTCACATAAGACGCGTCCTAAATAAGACGCGAATTTTCCGTATAAACGGCACATTTCGTCTAAAATAAGACGCGACTTAGCTAAGACGCGACTTACTTTAGACGAAATGTGCCTTTTAAACGGAAAGTTCGCGTCTTATTTAGGACGCGTCTTATGTAAGACGCGTCTTATTTTTCCTCGTATAAATGGCCCTATTGTTCTCCTTGGATGTGCTGTTTATTTTTCTTATAAATCGGTCCATACAGTTCTCTTGCCTTGGTGCAATCTCCCATAACATATCGCAGGCCTTGTCGATGCTCTGGTGGATCACATAAGGAAAAGAGGGAAAATTAGGATGTGATCACAGCCCTACATAATAAATTGCTGTGTTTTGTTACTTGACTTCGATCAGACCACACAAAAAAGCATTTTGGATTCGATTCTATAGCGGACAGATGTCACAAAAAGTAGTATGTTACAACGAGTACTTACCGGCTAGAATTTACGTCTTTCGCCTTTTCTTCCAAAATTTCACTGAGAATCATCTATCGTTGCAAGTTTCCGAAATAGAAAGTTGCTTCGGATCTCATGTTCACGTTCTTGGATATTTGACTTCCGTTTAAGAACCAAGGCATGCGCAAAACAAGCGGAACCGCATGATTTCTGCGGTCGAGATTTGGTGTCCCCAGAGTTCTCCTGGCGTTACCCCGTTGACCAAAAGGCTAGAAGACTCTGTGTACGAGACTGCCTTTTGGGGAGAGTTGCCTTCAAAAGGCATACAGCGTTTGCAACCTCAATAATGGCGCGGTATCCATGCAACTTTACATTTTGCATAAAAGTTAGATGAACAAAATTAACCCATTTTTGGGAATATGCAATTCAATCAGCGAAAAAAAGATATGCGCAGCCATTTAGGCCCATACTTTTAATAAAAAAGAAGGAAAAGTTTTTAATTAAACTTTTATATTGAGTGCGTGACGTGACGTCAGGGTTTTATCGATTCAGTTGATAAACTTAAATTTTTGCTACACCACCACAGCTTGTCTATTCTCTTTCTTTGACAAAGTGATTTTCGTTCACATTGTCACGGAAAAAAGTTAAAGGGGTTGTTTCATAATCTATTTTTAGAAGGCGCTTTAATCGCGTCACCTCAATCTAACAACCCCTTGCGTTGTCTACGAAGTAAAGTAACCCGTTTTCATTGTTGTGAGTGCTTTGCTGCGGGCGGGCGAATGAACTTATCACCCACGAGGGACAGTAAAACAATAAACGCATAAGTGGAGCAACTTGGGATGGTGCATCAGTTATAAAGTGGAATTAAGAAATTACTAATAGTAAAAGAAGTTTAGCCCAATTGAATTTCTTTTGACACTTTCATAAAGTCACTATTCCTGGGTAGTATTGCTAGTGTTATTAAACAAGCTGCTTTTCCATGGTGTTAGCTTTCTTTGCGACTATATGCCAACCGTGGCACGTCTTCATGTGGTCAGGTGAAACATAAATCATTTTGAAATAAAAAAGCGTGTTACTTTTTCTAAAAATTCAATTTTTTTCAAAGGTGAATAGAAATATCCACTAGCTCAAATGGCTTCCCGTCTTGAATTTGGCATTAAAAAAAATTAGAACTACAAACATTAACTTATTATACGAATGATTTACAATGACCACCTTTTTCCTGACAGAACGTTATCAGCAAAGGGGGTACTAAATTTTACTGTCAGATTGTTTAGGTAACAGAAAAATGGATATTCGATCCTAGGCTCATGCTTTTAACCCAAATTCAAATTGCCGCCAAGTTTTAAATAGAGTTCATAATATAAGGTTTTAAATTCCTTCATGTAGTGAATTGTATTTATCGTTGCATTTAATAAACTAAAAATTTTTGTCGGTTTCGTTCGAACCACCGACGCAGAACCACTCTTTTAAAGGTGGCTCGATAGGGTTTTTGAGGGTCAATACCTCCCAAGTTTGAGCATAAACTACGTCCCCATTAACAAAAATTTGCAAAAATTACCACCACAGCTGTGTTAGATAAAGATGATAATTTGTTATAATCAGGGTTGCAATGACATCGGAGTTGTCATGGCAATGTGATGACGCCATTACCTATTTACTTGCAGCCGTATTTCTTGGCACCGGGAACTCTTCTTCCAAAATTGTTCACGGGAGCTTTTTTCTCTAATAGGCGTATCGATTCTACACCTCACAAGGAGCGTGTTTTTCACGCTTTGCTATTGTTGTTGATTAAAGGCCGATATAAATTAGACGCACACGCAAACTTTTTGAATATGGCAAGATACATTTCCAGATATTAGAGCCCATACTGTAGTGACTGATTATTACAATTGACAACTACTGAAAGGTTTTTCATTTCAGTTTATTGATTTCATGTTTAGTCTCTTAGATCTTTTAACATTCTATAAATTGCAATCCAAAATGAACTTTATTATGTTTATTCAAAGGTACAAAGTATACTTTTTTATTTCTTAAGCATTAATGAATATCAATTAAAGCAAACTGAAATATCAATTTATTCAACTTTCCATGTACTAGTTTGCTTATATGCTGCGCTTTTTTGATTAAAACTTAACATATACCTATTATTTATCTGACGCGGGTTAAATACAACGTTAAAGTGTCCCAAGAAATTCCAATTCGACCAGGAATCAGGTAGACGAAAACCTACATTGTGGATGTGCTACCTCCAAATCATTCTTTCTTTCTTTCTTTCTTTCTTTAATACTTGGGTCAAATTTCACTGTAATGTTACTGTGGATAGGGACAACGTCCTGAATGGTAGTCGGCTTTTCTGAAGCCCTCGAGATGCATTTTTGATATAATGCACATTCACATTAGTTGTTCTTAGCATTTCAAAAGTCTCTTAAGTCCTTGGCGATAATTACTGCTAAAAATAAGGCAAATAATCGGGTTGACAGCACAGTTAACGTGATACATGAATATGGCAATAAAAACAAATATAGGAACACCGCAACTAGACATGATCTTGGGAAAGAGGGACATAAAACCAATAGTGAGCATGGGTACACAACAGAGTGAAAATGCTAACACGATAGCACATGCCATTCTTAACACTTTCCTGTTTCTTTCTGCGCGCTTTTTCTCAGCATTATTCGACTGTTCACCTGGACGTGCCTGTTGTTTGAGCTTGATGACGATGATGGAGTACAGAATGACCAGCAGGACGATAGTGATGATGATAATGATGTAATCTGTGATGAATACGGCAATTTGCCAGGACTTAATTTCGTCAGAAGTATCAATCACGGAACAGATACTGCGCCTTTTTAATTCGACTACTTTCACGCTTTTCAACCACGGCGAGTAAAAAGCCAAAGCAATGATCCATGTGGCGGTAATGACGAAGGGAAACAATTTGCGACTAATGACTGTGGAACGAAGTGGGAACACCACCGCTACAAAGCGATCCACTGCTATCAGAACTAAGCTCTGAGACGACACACCGTAGGAAACCGCTGTTACGTAAACTATAAGCTTGCACAAAGCTTGGCCAAGAGGGCCGCCAATAAGCCAATGATCAACAGGAGTTGTATAAAATCTTACTAGGAACCAAGGCACCGTGATAAACGGAAATATCAGGTCGGACATGGCCATGTTTATGATCAAATAATTTATGGGTTTTCGCAGGCTTGGTGTTTTATAGAAAATCACTCCAATGGCAGAATTCCCAGCCAGTGAAACAACAAGGATCAGACTATAACCAATGGTTAGCCCAATTTTTAACCCCGAAACGTTTATCACATTGTTACATACCACGATCATCGATGCAGTCTCTGTAGTGTTATTCATATTTACGGTCTCCGTGTCTTCTCCGTAAGGCTTTTAGTTCCTTTGCACAACATGTACAGCTGCTTATGCTATACTTGAATACTAAGAGGGTTTATAACTTTTAGCATCCAAATAATTTAAGAACCTTAAATGTCTTGAAATGACAAACTGGAGATAAGCGTTAACTGCGTAATGTAAAACACCCAAAGAGAGGTAAACACATTAAGATTCGGTGCTGATCTCACCCACTCGCTCTGCCAAAAACGGCTGCGCGGAAGCTATAAATTTCCCCATACTTATCACAAAAAATCTTAACTAGTACTACTTGTATTCTTGCCGTCAATGGGTTTTGAAAGCTCTATTAAGTTCGCTCGATTACCATGAAGCCACTGTTGGGGGTCAAGTCACTAAGTTTTCGTGGGTAATTAAGAAATCAGAAAGATCTAACCACCTGTTTAGAAAAGTTGTCTAGCTCTCTTCAAAAAGCAGCGTCATTCTACCTCGTTTGTTTATCTACATAACCACTCTTGTTTGATGGGATTTCGTCTAGTCTAGCTGGTATAGAAGATTCGAGGGATTTAAGCCAATCAGAAACGGAGAAATATTTTGAATAAAAAAATGAAGATTATTATTAATGGAATTATTCTTGCCCTAATAGAGTTCCTTTTCAACCTTTAATTAGTCACTCAGTATTCGTGCGTCATTAGGAAAACAGGAAGATCTAACTTTTATCTAAAAACCAGCGTCATTCTAACTCATTCACTTATCTAAGGCCCAGTTCATACGTCATGCTTCTGCCGTGCCGAACCTAACCAATATTGGGTTCGACAGAAGCACGACTTCAATTCAGACGTCGTGCCAGAGTCGAACTTAAGTCAGTGTTCACACAATAGTCTGTACAGCGGTAAGCGGTGAGTAGTTAGAAGGGGATGCTTTCCAAGTACTTTTTCCCGTCATTCCCCTGATTAATCCTGTCATTTGCATTAAAATCTCATCCCTGTTTATTTTCTGTCATTTTTTTTGTACTCTTTCTGTCATTAGAAAAAACTGAACGGGCACATATAACAGTAATAACCAGGAAAATGATTTCTGTCATTTAATGAATTGGACAAAAATAATAGCTCGCCTCGCTTTGCTCGCCTCGCGGGAATGACGGGAAAAAGTACCATTGATAGAGATGTGGAAATCATCCCCTTATAACTACTCCAATATGAAAGTGAAGGCAGAATAACATTAGGGAAATCCCCATTTGCTGAATTTTTGGTGAGTTGTGTGTGTTTGAATGTGTAATTAGGGGATTTCCCCACAAAATAAATTTTAGTTTAAAAAATATAGAATTTATAATAAAAATGACTAATCTTTATGAGGAGGTGGAAGAATATTTTGAAGACTTATTTAAAAGAAAAAAGTTAGATCTTTATGATTTTAATTCTTATGAGTTTTGTGATCTTAAATTAATTAGAGATTTTCAAAAAAATTATTACAAGAAGAGCGAACTGTTGATTTTATTTTTGTTAATTAATTAATGTTATATTTATACCTGGTTTTTTGAAAACCGGGCTACTAAAAAATGTCAGTCTCTCACACTGATTGTTAATTTGATGGCCCTTGTTACTTGAAAAGTAAAATCTCACCTCGAAAAGAAATTATTGAATACATGAGCTTCCATTTGATAGAATCATCTGTCTTGAAAGTAACAAAAGTGAAGTTTTCCTCATTAATCTGGAAAATAAGGCATTTTAAGAAGCAATTTTTAGTGTCGGTGTCACCGATTGCAAAGCCAATTCCCCAGTTCACCCCATTTTTAATTGAAGCTGGTCTCCCAAAAACAATCTAAGCCAACACTGCTCAACAATACCAAGTCCTAAAACCAGCAGTTCAACTGCTTGCTGACTAGGAACATTATCAACA